ATATCAACTACTTCTCTAGGAAGCCTATTCCAGAATTTGACTAGCCTCTTGGTAAAGAAATGCTTCCTTGTGTCCACTCTGAAACTTCCATGACATAGTTTTCTTCCCAGAAACCTGTGCTACTAATTTCTTTCATTTAATGGGTACACTGCAGGAAGATGAGATGTACAGCCCTAATGACCCCATAAACAGATCCTTCTCCAGTTCCTTACATTGCAAATGGCCATGTGTGAGACAATGCCCTGCTTGTCTCCCACACCTATTATTGCCGATAAATGGTGGACCTGAATAATGACGATGCTTATATTGATCATTAAATTCATTACTTTCCTAACTTGTTATTAATAAGGAAATTCTATTGCCTGTAAAATCTTGTCTCTTGTTCACACAGCTCAACAGCTAAAGATGATCAGATAAGCATAATAGCCCAGCTCATTCAAACATAATGTCTCTCATCAGCCAGTGCTACAGCTGTGGCATTCCATTCAATTTTCCAGACTCCCAGCTCTGTTCAGACAAGGTGTTTGCCCTTCTCTTCTCACTCATTTTGCTTCTCCTTCCTCTTCTGTGCAATATTTTGTCCTTTTTCATTTACATTTTCCCAGATGGCCTATCAGCTTGGCTGCTGGGCTCAGCTCTGTGCTGGGGTGGGTTTGATGGAGCTGTGTGGAACCATTTGGCATGGGGCAGCCCCATCCTCTCCTCACAGAGAGGTTACCCCTGCAGCTTCCCACCACCAACACCTGGAGACACCTGCACCCAGAACACAAAAGTGTTCATGCCACCTGTAGCATTACCTCCAAAGTCACAGAGGAAGAGGAACTGGCAATTGCTGGTGTACCTACAGATCTAAATCATACCCCAGCTATTCCAATCCAGCCATTTCTCTCACAGCCTACTTCTCCCTCATTTCTGTGTTTCCAACCTCAGTTGCTACAGTGGAAAGCTACAGAGAAATTTAGGCCCTACTCAACTAACTAAGATTCAAAGTTTTATTGGTTTTTGGTGGATGGTCCAGAGAACACTGTGAATCTTTGTCTTTGACCAGTATGAGTGTGCATAGTCTGTATGTGGTATGGTCTTATTAAATGAGTGATGGGTCTGGACATATACATATAAGTGGGTCCAAAAGAAACTACAGAAATTCAATGATTTAAATAAAATATCTTACTTGTGTACTGCATTTTTGTCATGAGAATTAGTGACAAAATAGAAGAAAAATCAGCAAAACAAATGTAAATTTATGTCTATTCTTTTAATTCATATTCTTTTAATTCATACTCTTTTGTATTTTTTGTTCCTTTTTTTTTTTTTTTATCTGTCCAGTGAAGGGTAACAAAGCTGGTGAAGAGTCTAGAGAATAAGTCATATGACATGTGGCCGAGGGAGTTGAGGTTGTTTAGCCTGGAGTAAAGTAGGCTCAGGAGAGACCTTATCACTCTCTACAACTACCTGAAAGGAGGTTGTAACCAGGTGGGGGTCAGCTGCTTCTCCCAGGCAGCTAGCATCAGGATAAGAGGACATAGTCTCAAGCTGGACCAGGGAAGGTTCAGGTAGGACATAAGGGAGAATTTCTTCATGGAAAGGGTTGTAAAGCATTGGAATGGACTACCAAGGCAGGTGGTGAGGTCACCATCCCTGGAGGTGTTCAAGGAACAACTGGATGTGGCACTTAGTGCTGTGTTCTAGTTGACAAGGTGATGATTGGCCAAAGGTTGGACTCAATGAGTTTGGAGGTCTTTCCCTATTTTAATGATTCTGTGATTCTGCATGTACTGCCAATCCATTTTTGATTACTGTTTTGATTACTGTTCATGATCACAGTTTGTATATTTATCCTACATGCATGCATACATACACACCTTTGTGTATGTTACAAATATTCCTTAATAAAAATCAGAACTTAACCCTGAAATAGTTAAGTTATCTTCATGGTTTAAAATATTCCTACAAGGTAAATTTAAAAGATTTAATCCTTAACATTAAAGAGATATGTTTGGTGTGCTGCCACTCTTGAGGAAGAGGAGGTTTTTCTTTTTGTCTGGAATCACATTATGAGGTTGTCAACATGGAGTTCAGCTCAGAAATTGGAAATAATTATAGTTTTTTATAACATATGCTTTAAAATTATTTTCAATATTCACATCAATGTACAGTAAGGTAAAAATTCTAGTTCATTCTTCTAATGACAAAGAGCTTAAATACTTAAAGCTAGCATTACTCAGAAGAGCTTCATGTATCTAATTGCCAGAGCACTGAAGTGTACTCACCTTGAGATTATTCCAGGGTGAACATCAAAGCTCTTTCTGGTCTCAGATAAGCTTGCATCCTTAACTGATTATTACCATAAGCTCTTGAACATGGGAACAGTGCTGAAATCTCAAGGCAACAGACTTGGTAAAGCATATATTTGTTTCTTAACTTTGTCCAGGTTGGAAATGAAATCCTTCCACTACCCCACTGCCTTAGCATTTTTTTCATCTATTTCTAACAGGGAAATACATAAAACTGGGGGGAAAAAATACAATACTCCAGGAGAAGTATTTTGGTCCTGGAAGCTGGCAAGAGAGGTAAAACTGGGAGGTGGGGGCAGGGGGTAGGTTGTGAGCAATTGGTAGAAGCTACTGACTGGTGTTCTAGCACATAAAATGTGTGCAACAGATTCAGAATAATGGCACTATCTGTTCAGATTCACACAAAGGTAGTACCAGAAGGTATTCTAGCATGGCATAGCCATGAGTATTTGCATAGTTATGAATAAAACTCATGAAGCCTTCCACTAAACCTGAACTGAGTTGGTGTGGTTTTTCAACACTGTCCTATCATAGTAACGTTGCCAACATACCACTGCAATTTAGAGAAAAAGAAGTCAGAGTTTCAGTCTATCAGCCTAGGAACTAGCCATTTAATATGCTGTTAGCTCGAAAAAAATTGTTTTGAGATGTAAATTATTTTGTCCAGAGAGTTCTGAGATGTAAAGTGTTTTTTCCAGAGAGATAAGCTTCTTGACTTGGTATTTTTGTGTCCCAAGACTTCTAAATTTAAGGTCAGTCCAAGAAAGATATGTCCTTTAAGAGTGTAAAACTATGTTTTATAAAAGAAAAATTAGCTTTGGCTTAAGAGTGATGAAACTCAAACAACTGTCTGTGGTACCAAGCTGTCTTGTAGAATTATGCTATCCCTTAATTACTGCTGCATCTTGCTTTGTTTGTTATTACATTTTTGAAACAATTTTGGAGCACTCTTAAAAGTCTCTCCTGGAATGTTTTCACTCTTAAAAGTCGGTCAGTATTCAGGTAATGTTTCATCATCCTAAGCATAATACAAGAGATTAAAAAGATAACAAATTTGGGGTCAGCTAGCCAAGACCACTCACCTGGATTATACAGTAAGCACCAGGGTATGCTCGTTGTCATACTCTTCTTGGGTGAGCAAGCAGACAGCAGCTTTTTGACAACACTTGAATTATGTAAATTTGCTTATGTAGAAGCCTAGGGTTAGGCATCTACGAATAAATTCCAGGGCTACATTTATGTTGCAGTGACAAGAGCAAGGGCTACTTGTGGTTTTCAACCAAACACACAGTTTAGGTTCCTAATACTCTTTTGCAGATCTCATATCTCATTTTAATTTTTCTGGTGCAGTGCTGTGTCATGGCAAATAGTTACATGGACTATACGTATGTATAGTACTTTTTTTTCAAATGAAAGAAAAACTAGAAGAGTCTTTCAAGAGTTAATAATGTTAAATAATAATAATAAACTGTCAGGGGTGGAGCAATGGAGGCCTACAGAGAATGGAAACAGATGCAGAAAAGCTGCGAAGAAACCTCAGAGGAAGAAGTTTAAGTCCTCTGACAACTGCAGCTGTGAGGGGTTGCCTAGAGACCCAGTCACAGAACGCAGCCTCATAAACACCTCTGTGGAATTCCCCTGATTGTACCCCAGACCCCTCCTTCCCTTCCTCCCTAACTATCCTCTTCCCCTATATGGCTGGACATATCCCTACGGCCAATCCCTCCATTTTCCCTTATCACTGAACTCTTAGGATTTGATGTTCCTAGCAAGAATCTCTCCTTTGTTCCAGACTCTTCTATATTCCCCTGTATATAAACTGACATCTTGTTTTAATAAACGCCATTTTGTGGGTCACCTATCTGGGTGCTCATCTCCTATACAAAGTGTACCCAAGGGTCTGTTCGCAGGGACAACCCCCCCCGTGATAATAAACCATCCATAAAACTGTATATTAAGGTTAAATATGTTAATGTTAGGACCTGTCTCCAATTTGTAATACCAAGTTTAAACTAAAGATAGTTTTCTTGATTTTAGGTCAAAGAACTTCTGAATAATTGTATTTTTTCAAAGTTTTCTTTCAGATAGTATTGTGAATGATATTTATCCTCAACGTAATATCATTTTTGTAGATTTTTTCATTCTTTGTTTGACATAATGCCATTTAGCTATGACACTTCCTAATTTCAGTGCCACAGAAGCATTTCCTTTTATTAATAGCAAGAACTCCTGCATCTCCAGCAAGCCTTGTCATCACAGTGATTTATTTCATGTCTCCTCTATAATAATACTTTTATTTTATGCAAATCAAATTAAAATAACTTATTTTTAACGTGTCTTAACAATGAATCTGATAATTATAGCTGTAAATCTTATAAGCCTCTAGAAGAAGACACCCTACTGCTAATGAACATCAGTGAAGATGTGAGATCCTAATTCTTTCAGGTGCTTCAAAAATAGTTTCATTTTAAGATTACTTTACAGTAACTGAGGTGTGTTCTTTCAGACCTTTGATTTACTCTGTCAATAGAAGCATATATAACTTATAACTGTGAAAATGTATAGAACTAAATTACAAGCAAGATATATACCACTCCTAAGACCCCTAATATGTAAACTTTAATGCTTGTTAAAACCAAAAAATGTAAAAGGTTTTTAAACTTCTTTTAATCTTAAGAATTTCATATATTTTAATATTTTATCTTCTTTGCCCTATATTTTTTTCTACCAATCAGCCTATAGTTGTGATGATTTCATGCTGCTCCATACTTTGGTCTTTTTCCAGACAGCGTGAGTCCTGTGGGATGCATCAAAGAAAGCCATTAGTGCACTTATTGGTGTAAAACTTGCATGATGCCATAAATCTTTTAGCAAGTGGATTTGGAAGATGTTTTTGTGAAGGTTATGCATGTAAGGTAAGCTACATTACATGAGCCTTCAATGTGTGCCTTCAACATTACACTTTCTGACATTTAATAAAACAGTGATTGCAAAGAGCTGCATCCTCAGAGGCCTTGTTATGCCAGCACCAGTGCAAAGGGAGTACCCTCAGACTGTCTTCTGTGTTTTAGTTGCAAAAGAATATTTTTTATTTTTCTGAGCTATCAAATAAAACCTGATTTTACAAGATTTTGCTTTTTATCCTTGCAGGTTTTAGTAAAGTAACATTTTACTGCATACATAAAAACAAGGATTTAACTTAGAAAAGATTACATATAAATGCACAGGCATTTGAAAACAAATTGTTTATAGTTAATTTATATTAAAAAGATTTTATTGTTCTGCTCTTGTCAGTCTATAAAAATTTCATACCTCAGTTATGAAAGTCCAATCTCCTGGATTTTTGAAGAATAAAAAGAGTATGTTCTTATATTTACTGGACTCTTGCTCATTTTGTAACTAAATCAAATGATGCCACGGTAAAGTGAAATTATGTCAATTCTTTTTAATTAACATCTAGGTTCATAAGTCTGGAGATAAAACTGAAAGATGAAGACTTTTTACTATTGTCTACTCAGGGGAACTGAATTGCAGAGTTAATATAATGTCCACTGGATGTTAATGGATATTGGTATCACTCCACAGTTTTCAGACCTTCTGCCTTATACAAAGTAATTAAGTCTTGTTTTCATTTCTCTCTTTCCACCTCTGCAAAGCAAACTAGAAAAGCAAGATGGTTTGCCATCTAAATATATTACATACCTATTGTTACTTAAAAGAGCCTAATAATGCATTAGTGTTCTAGTTTGGATCAGGATGCACTTATTAAGCAAGTCTCCCAATCACCACCATGACTTCAATGTGTGGTTTCAGAGCAGTAGAAATTCCTGCTGTGTAAAACTACATGGGAAGCTGCACTCCCTAAACATAGCTACAGTGCTCCATCCACTGATGGGCATTCAGTCCACTGGCCCCAGCTTGGGCTTTCTTCTCATGAAATCTCTGAAATACATGTCCTGGAGACATCTGGTACTCGAGTCAACTGTTTTACTCTGCAGATCTGTTACTGTTTTGTTACACTATCTGCTAACTTTGCTCTGGTCTCCTATGACCAGAGGATATCACTAATTTCAAACTGCACTTCTACTGACACGGGATGGCCTACATCACATAACATTACCTCTGGGGTTACTAAGATTATATAACTGATTTTACTGGCTATGAAAAGGAAGTGGCTAGTTGGCACTGTTGGCACTGTGCAGCTACTGGGTGCCTAGAGCTGGGTGAGATAGGATTAGACCAGAAGATTGAGCCAAATTTAACTGAATTACTAATTTACTTTCAATAAAGTATGTGTAAACCATGATCTGAACTGGTGCTTTCCTTGAATCAAGTCTCAAACACATCGGAAATAACATTTTAACTCAGCACTCAGAACCATGTGGGAAGATGTTTTTACATTGTTGTAACAAATATTAAAATTGAGGGAGAAGAACGCTTCTTGTAAAATATTAGTTAAACTTTGGATCTGCTACAGTTTGACAACACCATCTATAAAGTTCCATTGTATGAGTATTTCTCAATCTTTCTTCACAAACTCACTTCTTGGAGGGCACTGATCTTTTTAGACTCCCTAAAATGTAACAGATACCATGTAAGTATGATTATGTAGATAAAGGTTATCAGGTTATTAGGTTTTTGGATCATTGTGAATATTTAACTATAAGCATGCTTGCTAGTTGCAGGCTGTAACGAGACACAGTAGGATGAAGAAAAAATAAAAATTAAAAGGATGCCTCAGGGCAATTTCAGGATTTTAAATGAAGAAAAACTTCACTAACATTTCCCAGGGCCAGTTGAAAAGATTATATTTAACAGGATTAGCACTGTCAGCATAAACAAGCCAGCATTTCAGTATTTAACTTTTGAAAGCTTTAACTTCAGAGTACATAAAAAAAACCAGCCGAAATAACCAAAACCAAACAAGAAATACCGAGTGATGAAGAGAAAATATTACTGTGATCAGTCCAAAGACCTGATCTTTACCATTAAATAGAAAAGGTCTTCCAATCTTTAAAAATCCTGTAATATCATGGTGTCAGAAGAAGTCGTCCTGGAAGGATATATTGGAATATTGCCAGCTTTTATTTCTAAAAATATATTGTGAATAATAATTAAAGAAATGGTCACTGTTAGTTGGTCTTGACAAAACAAATCAACTATTTGAATTTTATATCAACTGATGGTCAAAATGGCTAAAGTTAAATATTATATCAAACCTTTAGAAATGTATAAAGTCTTCATATATTTAGAGATATTATGATCAATATATAGGACAAAAGAGACGATTAATTTAAAAAAATAATTTGTCTTCTGAACGAAGTATGCTACTGGGGAATATTCCAAATCAAAAATATAAAAAACAGACTTCTGAGCTGCAACTTTCAGCTAAAAAAAGAAAAAACAAAATGCAGCTGTGTTAAACAAGATTGATAGCACTCAAAGAAATAGTGGTATATTAATACTTCCTTTTCCAGAATGAAGACACTTCTTTGATTTCTTCACCTGCTTTGATATTTACTTTGAGATTCTCAGTGAAGATTGCTAAATATTACACTAGCAGGTATAGTTTCATTTTAATCTCATTCATTTCACCAGCTTATCAAGGCTATAATTAAAAATCTTTCCTCGTTTGCTTTGTATAGGTAAAGGACAATGATGACATTTTCTAATTGTTTCTTTTATGCTTGTTTTAGCTGGGAAATGTGTTTTCACTGTCTTCTCTGTTCAGACTGACATTTTATCTACTAACTAAATATTTGTTTTTAATACTTGCAAGATCACTTCTGCACTTTTGCTGACTTTTTTCACACCTTAAAAAAAAATAAATCTTTAATGATTTTCACTTTTGTACTGTTCTTGTCATAACTGCCTAATGAAAATTCTTGACTTGAATGCAGTTGATTAAGAATAATTTTCAGCCTTTGACCATATTTTTAAAAATATTTTGTCATACTTGATAAATACGTTAACCAGCAGGTAGTCAATGCTGCTCCTGTTCAACTTATTAATTCAGAACTGATATGCCCAACAAGCTAATATTGTAGAACTATAAACCACTCATTCAGATTTCTCAGTTTTATTTCAGCACAGATTATGTGTTTACAAACATAAAATCATATACAGAAAAAAATTTTATCCTTGGATAGATTGACTGGATGCAAAAATACCAAGGACTCTGCTCTTAGTTGTATAATTTGATTTTAGGTAATCCTTCAAGGAGCAGGGAGCTGGACTCGGTGAACCTTTTGGGTCCCTTACAACTTTTTTCTATGAATCTGCAATTATATAATAATAAAAAGAGAATGGTTTACTATCTCTTCATGTAATTACATCTCATTTAATACCTTTGGGAATGAAAAGAAGTTGTTTACTGCATGTGAACAGCAGATGACTCCTTATGTAGGATATTATAGATGCTGTTTTACTGTTTATATGTAAGAATATAGTTTCCCCCACTTTTTTTTTTTTTTTTAAGGCAAACACTGCCAATTAAATACCCAGATATCACTTCAACAAGAGAAAAAAAGAAAAAAGAGAAGAGGGAGAGGGAGAGGAGGGGAGGGGAGGGGAAGGGAGGGGAGATAAAAGGCAGGAAGGAGGAAGGAAGGGAGGGAGGAAGCAAGGAAGGAAAAAGAAAGTCTGAGTTGGTAGCAGAGCTATTCTCTAATTCACCAGCTCAAACAACTGAATTTTGCAAATAAACTCTGAAGAAAGAAAAGGAAGAGATTCTAGATTTACCTCTCTTGTTCTCTTCTTTTTTTGTATTCTGTTTACTTCCCAGTGATTTCTTGGGATTCTTTTCATGCTGTAGAATTACAAAACATGAATGCAAATGTAGATATTCAAAGATAGGAATGCATGATTCATATAAAAAAAGAACTGAACTGAAAACTGAAATGGTAAAATATGAATATTGCAAAATGAAGCAATGACAAGTTAATAAGTGTCAGCATTACAAATTTCTTTGCGATCTTAATCCTGATGCTCTACATTTCAGTCTTTAATTCTATAGTGTCCAAATACATCACAAATATTTATGAAATTATTCTCATGTGGTGAAGAGATTTCGTTAACCAGAGTTCTCATGTAGGAAATTAATGCATTTACATATTCATGTGCAAAAAATGCATAAGGAAGGTAAGAAATCTCTCATACTCTATCATCTTTCATTGAAGTCTGGTTTTGTTCATATTACAGACAAACAACTAGACTGGAGTGGTCTGAGTATGTTCATTTCATTACAGCCTAAACAAATCTGAGCAACCATCTACATGTTCAATATGTCTCTTATTTTGGCCACTGTTGAATAACACAGAGGAAGTTAAAAAAAAAAAAAATGCAAATCATTGGTCACTTGCATGGACAAGTAGTCCAATCAACTTGCTAGCCAACACAAGAAGCAAAAAATGCAGAACATTCACATTCAGTTAGTGCATATACTTTTGTAAAAAATACTTGGGGCTTATTAAATGTTTTTCTTTTCACCTTTACTGAAATCACCCCTTAGAAGTGCATAATTAGGGGATGTAAATAAGAATTTCCAATATGATGGCTTTATTTTTTCTCTGATATTTATCGACCAAAAGACAAACTGAAACTGTCCAGGTTATGATGATATGGAGCAACATAGCGTGACAACCTCTTATTCTCACATTGATCATTACTTTTTTGTCCTTCAAAATACTTAGGAAGGAGACCTTTTTCTTTAATGTTCCCCCATATGATCCAATATTTCCCTGCTTAGAACTTTGCCTTGGGATGTGATGACTTAGTTCAAATTTCTCCTTTGAACCAAACCAAACTGAAATTCTGAACACAAGACTCCATTTTACCCAGGTGACTGGCACAGATTTCTTTGTTTACAGGAGACTCTATATGTTTCTGTACATGCACATGTGTGGCATAATAGCTTATAAGCATACATGTAGAAGTGGAGAGGAAGACAGAGGAATGAAAAGATATAACTTGCATTAGTTGCTCCAAGAAAGTTTAACTCTAAAACCTTAGCACAGATCCTTGCACTTTTCTTATTTAGATGAAATGCGTAAACACCTCTTCTTTTTCTGTTCTTTTTGCCAAACCATGCCTTCAAAATGTCTTTGCTTTTCGTTTTAGATTGCTTCACACTGGATCTGTTGAACCTCATTCTGAGATACGTACCTCTTCGCATATCCTGTTAAGCATGTCTAAGGTATTGATTTCCCTAGCACTTTTGTAAAGGTGAAGTTATTTTGTAGCGTAGAGTTTATCAGAGGGAGCAATTATTTGGGACAAAGAAACACCTTAAGAATACAAGTGTCTTTTATTTGACATGGTAGCTTTCCTCTATAATTTTGTATACTGCTCTGTAATTGTTTAGATGCTAAGCATAGACTTGTTATAGATTTACATTATATAAGCTCATTTTTCTTCCTTTCTGACCTTCTTTGAAAAGTTGTCCTTTGCAGTATATTTGTCAGTGTCTTCTCTGACTTACTTGTCTGGCAATCTGTCCCTTGGCATCCTTATAACATCTGTCATGAGTGTCTATCTGCACCATTCTCCAAGTCCTTCATTTGTTGCCTTGTCTGTTCACAGTAATTGCCACATTCATCATAGGTACTTCTTTTGAAGTAGAAACAATTTCATTCCCTGATGTTGCATTTAATGTCTTCTTTGTAGTTCTATTTGTTTTATTCCTTTTCTGTATTGTGAGATCTCTGCACTCAGCAAACAAGTATAAAGTAGTGCAAAAATCAAATTTTATCACTTCCTTCACACACTGAGATACTCATCTTTACATAAGTAAAGAATTCACATCTCTATCACAATTTGCAGATGTACAAGAGGTGCTGTCCTGCACCTGCTTCAAAATAATGTGAATTAGAAATTGTAGCTGCAATTAATTGCAATGATGCAGTGAAAAGTATAGGTTGGCAGTGCACAGAAGTATAACAGAAAGAACAAAAGGTGCATTCATTCAAAAGTACAAATTATGATATTTCAGTCCTATTTTCATCCTGAGCCTTATGGATGCCAGTGTTCCTGTCTATAAGAGAACAATGGGGAATAAAGGATAATGTGCTGGAGTCCTATAATTTTTAAAGAACATTTACCAAATACCCAGTGAGAAAAACAACCTTTGACAATATTTCTTACATGAGAAAATATATTTTTGTTAAGTTAAGACTTTGGTTTAGAGCACCCTCTCAGGCACACTTAACTGCCAGACAGATAAGCCTGTCACACTGTTCTTCCTAGAGATATCTAATTTCCTGTTTTAGTAACAGATTCAAGAATCATGCAACAAACAAATAAAAGGATGAGCTAACTCCAGTGTGATTCCTTCACAGCTTCCCTAGTACATTTGACATTGGCAATTGTACAGGTAGATGAAATTTGTAAGCACAGAAGCGGTTTTGGAATGTATTACTCTTTAAAAGCTGACTAATACTTTACTCTCAGCATCACATCATATTATACTATGATTATGTGTTGGCATGACATCAATATGTAATGGGATAATGGGATAGCATTGTTTCTGATTAACCTGTTGTATGAATGGCCACATAAAACTTAAGTAGCATCATCATTTGTTAAATACCAACTGTTCTTGGGAATTTTGACCCTATTTTTGAATACTTTTTGTGTATTCTCATTTGATTTCTTTTTTCTGTTTCATGTTGAATTTCTATGGATTGCAAAAATAAGAATAAAATATAGAGACTAAACTGTAGTTTAGGTTTTTAATTCCATTATTATTTTAATTTTTTTCCTAAATATATAACTCATGGCATTTATTTTTTACCCAGTTTTTAATGAGTAATGATATTTTCAATACTAGTAGCCCTACTAATTCTCAAAATATTAGTCTGAACTAGAGCTCACCAAGACGTGCAAAGGCTTTCCTGAAATATACACTTTACATGAACTTCATAATTCTTACCTTAGGATCATGGTCTATATTTTCTGTAGGAACAAAATTTTTTCTTTCTATCCCACATAAAAAATTGTGTAGCTCTCTAGCAAATATATTTGTACTCCCAGTAATGCATACAAGTTCACTTACACATTATACACATTTATTTTCTTCATAGAAAACTAAATTACAACAAGAAACTGGATCTGTGAGTGAATTATTCAGACAGTAACTCATTCAAATATTGCAGCTAGGAGTTGGACATGGAAAGATGTTCAGTGCATACCAGATTATGTTTACTGTTTTCTTCTCAGTGTTTGTTATTTCTAACCAGTCTGCAAAGTTCAGTGGGGTTCCACTAATAATGTTCCAGGACTTGTTCAGTTTGTCAGCATTCTTCACCCTTAAACCTCTAAGACTAAAATATGCATTTTACATCTGTATTTACCTAATTTAATTCTTCTGTAATGTCCATGTGTCTGTAGTCTGTGGTAAAAAAATGGCAGTTCTGAACACAGAAAATCCTAGAAATTTCTGCAAAAAAACCATATTGCCTCATTTCACTACATAAAGCTTAGCTGCAGGGATACCTTTTCAAGTCACTATATAATTCAGCAGGTGATGTACCACTCTATTTGCTTACTCTTTCAGTAATAAAGTAATACCAAATGCAGCACTATTTCTTTGAGTTGTGGACATTTGCCTGAGACAACCAATTCATTTTACAAAGTCTACTGAACAGCGATCGTATAATAATGACTTTTTGGTAAGTAGTTAATGATGCAGGGGTTTAGAGGACCCATACCTGATTAAGTGTGCAGGGTGGATAGTGTGCAGTTAATGTAATATAAAGTAATAATAGAGTAACTAGAATAAGAATAAATAGCTTAGTTGCCACATTCTCTGTAGGTTGAATGAGGAATGAAACCGGTATGTAGATGTCTAAGCGTCCATAGCAGATGGCCTACAATGTGAACCTCTGAGTATTTCTTTACTATTCTCATCAGAGTTATGCTTCCACTTTTGTATTAATTTTTCCCTTCCTAAAATAGGATACTTGTTCTCCCATCCAGTTCCCAATTCATTCTTAAAATCAATAGTTCAGGGTTGTTTATTTTTTTCATGACATTACCTAGGTTTCTGGGATTCGGTTAAACATTACCATTATTTCTACTCTACCACTTTAGGCAGAAATCTGAAAGGAAAGTGTATAGGGCATTCTTACTGGGTAAATGATTCTCCTTTAAGGTTAACCACTCTTCTGTCTTTTGCAAAGTATAATATAAAAAATTAAGTACAGAGAAAATACATTCAAAACTGATTTTGAAGGGACACGTACCTTTTACTAAAAGGAAAAAAACCCACAACCCTACACAGTAAATAAATACAAAAGTAACTTCTTTATTAAACAAAGTTAAACAAAGCATTTAATTTCAGTAACTGAGAAAGCAATGAGAAGAAAACATTAACTATTCTCGGAAGAGTTCAAACACTCAACATAAATTAAACCTACCTAATTCTTAAAGGGATTACTGAGCTCTACTAAGAATTGTTGTTTTAACCTTTCTCTTTCTAATTGCTTTGCTCTTGTGTGTAGTTAAGTAATATTTCACCAAAAGGAGCTCCTATGATCTTTCAACGAGACCTGTCCCTAAAGATTGCTTTTGTTTGTTTCACAGAATGCTCTGAGTTGGAAAGGACCAACAAGGATCATCATATCCAACTCTTAAGTGCGTGGCCCATACAGGGATCAAAATCATTACCTCAGTGTTATTAGCACCACGTTGTAAGCAGCTGAGCTAATCTCAGGGTCTTTGAAGAGGCTCTAGTGTGTCACTACATCTTTCAACTGATCACAGATTCCAAAGGCAAGAAGCCGTGTAACACTATTCTTTGGCTCTGACATG